TAACACGTTAGACTGCACCCCATAAACACAATCAAGCCTAGAAAAAAAACAGTGAACCACCCCTTTAAACAGCTAAGTTGACTGCACTTAAAAATTCTCCAATCATTTAGTGTGCTTAAACTCTGCCCTTGCAAGCCACGTCTACATCTCAAGGCCCAATCAGCTACCACTGCATAGAACCAAGTCCCGCCCTCCATTTCTTCTTTTCCGCAAATCTTTTACACTCAAATGTATATCACAATACGGAAGAAAAGCTCTGTCGCTAAAAATCATTCCATCGTGAAAAGTGAATTTAAAAATGTCTGAATTTAAATATCTTGTTTCTGATTGGCTGTTTTCAATTCCAGTACCTGAGTTTTCACCAGAAGCTCTGGCTGCCGGAGTCAAGTTGTCCTCCCACTGAACTCACCACACTTCAACACCGTTCATACTTCTGACCTCATCGCTTTCATGGGCCACTGCAAAAGAGACATTTTCAGCTTCAGTCTAATGAAGATCAAGGATCTATTCTAAGAATAAAAGGACATATCATGTCTTGTATTACAGTATATCGATTGTTAACAGCTTTTCCATTAATCTACATGAAATTGCAGATTATATATGTGTACATGTGTCTGTGGTTAATTGACCAAAATATGTATTTAACTAATTGTTTAGAACAAGTGTTCTATTAGGCGGCATCATGATGTTATCGCCGCCCTCCAAGAGATGAACTTGTAAACTTGAATGGATATGGTGCCATAAATGAATTTTGTTGTCGAAATTTCTAATTATCACTGAATTTGTTTATTGGCTCTTTAGCCATAAAGTTCAGTCTTATCTTAATTTGACTGAGTTCACAGGCAGGTCAGGACGAGTAGAGAGGGCAAATGCAAGGTTGACTGCTTCTTGAATACTGAAGAAAAACAGACAACAGATAACAGCAAAAATCAAACCCTAGTCTCGAGTTATCTGAGGGCAATGGGGCCGATTCATGAAGTAAATCCACGTGTTTACAGGCTGGAGGACAGAAATCACAAAATGTTTTGTTTGAAACCAACATAGAAAACCCCTCCTAGTGAAAACAAGCTTTTGTGTAATTGGACTTTTGACTCAAATTCTTATAGTGACAACTATTATTTGACAACATACCCCGGTCTCCTGTATTATCTGATATTGGAGTTTAATTTTAAAAACTATTCTGAAGAATCACTTGGTTTCTTGTAAAGTTAATTTGTATTGCGTATAGCAGCTCATTTTTTGACACATAATAAACCCAAAATGTCATAGAACAGTGAACTTGGGCACACGCATACCTCATAAAATGGTAAAATAAACAAGACTTTGAGATGGATGCAGTTTGTGTGTCATCATTTATGACAAGCTGATTCAAAGTGACTTTGCACTAAACGGTGAACACGAAAATCTGTCTGAGCTGGAATATTTTCTGTATGTAAAATTTACACGTATTTTTTTTAGGCTACATTATGGGAAATTTGTGGGAGTCTGATGGTAAAGATGACATTTATCATAGTAAATCAACAAAGCTATGTCAGAACTAGCATACTACTCTTACTCTTTATGCCACAGAAAGATTTGGTAAAAGTAGTAAGAGTAGAGAGACTTTTTTTTTCATCGTTTTTTAATAAGGGTATTTATTTTCATTTAATGTGTGGCAGTGCATTTTGTTTTAGCAATGATTCAGCTCATTTAAATGCTTAAAGGGTTAGTTCACCCAAAAATGAAAATTAGGCTGTGTTTTACTCACCCCAGAGCCATCCTAGGTGTATATGACTTTCTTCTTTCAGACGAATCCAGTCGGAGTTATATAAAAAATTGTCTTTGATCTTTCAAGCTGTTTAATGCCACTCAGCGGGTGTTGCATGCATCCGTCCAAAAGAAGTTAAATAAAAAGCACCCATCCATAAAAAAAGTGTCCCACATGGCTCCAGGGGGTGAACGGTTTATTTACCGTATTGACCCGAATAAAAGACGATGTTTTTTTCTTGGAAATACGTCTGAAAAAACGCGGTCGTCTTATATTCAGGGTCTAGACTTTGACATGTCAATAATACACCCACAACAATAGGTGGCGCCAAATACGCATAAAACTTGTACTTCTAATTCTTGACCGTTGTTTTGTTTTGATCTCTCCCCTGCGCTTCCGCATTCGTCACTTCTGAGCGGTGCATGCGCAACGCCGACGTCCAACGTCATCCGCCCGGAACTGCTTTCGTGTGCAACAGTAAGCGCAAGCTAGATTAAATTGATTGTTACATTTTAAATATGGTTATTTTTCTTACAAAAACGCATCGATTCGCTACAGGAGGCCTTTGTTCACCCCTTGGAGCCATGTGACACACTTTTTTTTATGGATGGGCGCTTTTTATTTAACTCCTTTTGGACTGATGCATGCAACACCCGCTGAGTGGCATTAAACAGCTTGAAAGATCAAAGATTAGAAAAGACAATTTTTAATATAACTCCGACTGGATTCGTTTGAAAGAAGAAAGTCATGTACACCTAGGATGGCTCTGGGGTGAGTAAAACACAGCCTATTTTTTTGTTTTTGGGTGAACTAACCCTTTGGCTTGGCTCATTACGAATCGTTCAGTGAGTCGGTAGTTGACTCAAATGATTCGGTCCGATTAGTGAACAAATCCTTCAATCCTATTCGGAATAAAGACTGGTTGTGTGAACCGGATCAAACAATGAATTGAAGATCCCTGATATATAATTCTTTGAAAAAGGCCTGAAATAAAAAAAATTGCATTAAATATATTTAGAAACAATATCTACAAGTAAAAACTTGAAAGCAATGCGAGTTATGCAGCGGTTTAATATGTGCAATGATTGTCTGTTTTTTGTTTTTTTTACAATTTGCTGTGATCTCAAAAAAAAAAAAATCATTGCAAAGATCCGAATCGAAGGAGTGATTCATTTGCGAATCGGGCATCGCTTGTTGAAGTTTGCAAAATGGAGTTCGCAAAATCAAGGGAATCTGTTTAACCAGAGACTGTCATATTATTAAAGCTGCTTTGGTTCAACGTTGTTCTTGTTCATATATTGTAATAAAATGCTCACGTTAAAAACGGAAAAATACTGTCCCTATAGAAATAGCTACTGATTCATATTGTGTTGTGGCGCGTTTACGGGTTTTTTTCCTGCACCTTCACACACTTGTGTTTATTTTTACTGCCGTGGCCTTACCTTGACATCATTACTCTTCCAAATGTTCAACTTTTCACCTTCGTGTTTATCTGCGTTTACAGCCTCTAAGCAATGAAGCGAAATCCTACTATCTCGGTGTTATCAGCGCACCCTTCTGACTACGGCAGAAAATCCGGTATTTAATTGGTCAACAGATGAGGATTAAACAATATTTGCTGAGTGATACGCAAATGTTGGATCAGGGATTTCTGTGGAGTAAACAGTTTAAGATGGTGAACAGCGACGTAAGTAGACTTATACAGTACGACAAGCATAGGTTACGTGAATGCATTGCGTATAATAAAAGTAGCACACCTTTCAAGGATTTGTAGTCTGGTATGATATAATTAACGTGCAGTCTTTTTTGGCATTATCATCAATATTCGGTAGACCTCTGCCCTCTTGTGGCATTTTTAGCGAATCACTCCTCAAACAGACTGAAATAGGCTTATGCATTGTTTACATGAAACTAATAGTGACCTATTGATGAGTATAACCAGTTTTGGCAAGTAGCTAGCTAGGTACATGTAAATAAATTACGTAATTTAATTACAATATAAGTGCAATTGTAATTAGTTACTGAGAAAAAAATGTGTCATTAAAGTACAATTACTTATGAAAATGTTAACGATTACAAAGGGGGTTACTTGTGTTTTTTTCCACACACACACAGATTTAGGCTAAATGTTTTACATAAATTGCAGTGACTGCTCTAAAATACGAGACACCAGTGTTTCAGGAGTTTAAGACACAGAATAGGTCACATGCTCATTTGAGAAGTGTTTTAGTTGGGTTTATGTATTTGCTTTATTTTTTTAAGATTAACTGTTTCTTTCAAGCCACTGTTAGATGCCAGTGTTTCCTGTCATAACTATGCAAAGATTTGATTTCAAAAACAGTATCGTAGCTACTAAACTATGGATTTTGAAAGTCGGACAGTAACTGTTAACCCTTTGTTTGAAAATGATTAACAGGTGAAAACCTTAGAAATGTAGGAAAGTAGCCTAATCAAATGTAATCAGTTACATTCCTTTCATAAAGTAATTGAAATAGTTACACTACTTATTACATTTTAGATATAGGGTAACTTGTATTCTGTAAGCTGTTACATTTCCAAAGTAACCTTCCCAACACTGATTATAACTGTAAACCTTAAATCTTTAATCTTACGGTAAAGGTTGAACTCATGAATATTAATGATGTAATGTGACGTTCGCCACTATGCACCTGATTGGCTGAAAGGCATACATTAATATGCGGGCGGGCCCTGCAACCTTTCGATGTAGGTACTTCTGGAATAACCATTTTCAGAATATCAACTGGAAATTGATTTGGACTTATAATAAATTCTGTGTCACTAATAAAGTTAGTAAAGTTATACATATAATTTATTTTTTTTTGTGTGTGGAATGGATGTTGAGATTGTCTTGCATCTTTTTTTTTCTCGAATGTATGTATGTTCATTTTTTTGAGATTGATGTTGAATATTTATTTGCTATGTTGAGTGGATCTAAAATTGATATAAGGAAAAGAGATGTTATATTTTATTTTGATAAAACAAATGGATAAATATGGATAAGAGTCACATTTTTACACTAAATATTCTAATATTATTAGATAAGTTTGATATACACAAATGTGAATGATCTGAAAGGAAGACCAATATCTCCCAAAGTTGACTTAAGGATTTATTTTTAATACTCTTCAAGGACTTTCAAGTCGGAAAGCAACCAGAACTATAAAGAACTAAACTCCTTCTCACTATTGTGATTATTGATGTATACCCTCCTTGTTTTTATTATTATTTTTCTTCCTTTTTCTTTCATAAAATGTGATTGCCCTGTTTGTAATATTTAATTATGGCTTGAA